AGGTTAATCAGTTTTGGAGGGTGGAGAAGGAGGACCCACAAATGAGGGAAATTTTAAACTATAGACTCTACACCTGTGTTTCTGAATATTTTAATTTTTTCTGACCCTGAGTCATATGAGCTTGTTCATTCATTTGACTAATATTTGAGGGCTTGTTAGACGTCAGGCTGAGGAATACAGTGGTTAAAGCAAAAATTCTTTCCCTTGAGAATTTTCATTTTGGTTAATGAAAACACCAAACACTAGTTAAGTTCCAAAGAGAAAAAACAGTCAAGAAAGGAAGATACCAGGGTTGGGGAACAAAGTGGAATTACAATTTTAGATATAGTAGCCAGGGAAGGTTTCACTGAGTAAATAATCTTTGAATAAAGTCCAGGAAGATGTGAGGAAGTTGGGATGTGAAGCAATGATTTAACCAGTTCTTACTCAAGGCAATTCAGAAGGCATATGAATGTTACTGCAATGATCTGTGTTTTTCTGCAGGAAAAGGAATAATTCAGGCGGAAATAGCTGAAGGTACGGACTTTTAAATTGCTTGTTTTTTAGTCTGCAGGAGATACAATAATAACTGATGTGTTACATAGGTGGAGACAGGAAATGTTAGTTGCTAACAACTTTGTCGATTACCACCCCCAGGAAACTAGCCACTTGGAGGACCAATCAGTAAAGGAGTGTTCAACGCAATATTTTACCTGATACCAAGTTAAAGTGGAAAAGCAAAGAGATGTGCTCAGATGTAAATATACCTTTAAATTTAACCTCTAGCTCTGTTTTCCCACTACATTTCATTCAGTAAATATTTATTGCCTATTTTCTGTTTAAAACTAGGCTAGGCATTGGGAAAACAGTGAACAGAACAGATGCTGTCCCTGTTGTTTGTTCATACAACTTACATGTTACTAGCAGGAAGAAGCATTAGGCTACTAATTATTGCAGTTATTTAGTGGCTGTGATTGGGGAGGCAGTCTGGGGCGATGAGAGAATATAATCTTATCTGAGGATTTAGGAAAGTCCTTTTTGAGGAAGAAACATGTAAGTAGAGACCTGAAGAATGAGAAGGCATCAGCCAGAGGAAGGAGAGACAAACGGCTTAGGCAGAAGGGCCTTAGGGATTGAAAGGCCACTGGAGTATAAGAAGAGTGTGAGAAGATGAGGCTGGTGGGGCTAGATGATTCTGGGCCTTATTAGGCTTTTGTGTTTAATCCTGAGAGCGAAGAGAAGCCATTGGTGTATAAGTTGGGCTTGGAGGCAGATGTGTTTGAGTGAAGAGAGACAAAAGTGGATGTAGGGCTTTGAGTTAGGGTTGTGATGGTGGACATGGAGGGGAGTAGATGGAGTACAGTGGTGCCTAGGGGGTGAGGGATTACGTATTGGAGGATGAAGAAGAGTTTAGGGTCAAGAATGACCACCATGCCTTTTTTCTTTTGGGCAGCCGTATGCTGGTGCAGTCTATTCAGATGGAGAAGACTGAAGGAGGATCTAATTTAGAAAGATGATGAGTTTTAGGCTTGTTGAGTTTGAAGTTTCCTATGAGATACCCAAATGGAGGTGCTGAATGGGCTCAGGGAGAGTGTGGAGAGAGTCATCTGAGAAGCAACTACAGCCATGAGAGTGGATGAGATAGTTTAGGGGGAAAGTGCAAAGTGAGGAGAGACACAGAATAGCTGTCCTCCAACTCTGGGCATACCTGTTGGGAAGTACAGACCTCTTTACTGTTTCCTGATAGCACATGCCTGACAAAGGACAGGTCATTGACAGAAAGCAGTTGTTTGTACCACTGCAAGCACTTCTGAAATGGCCACCATGGTTAATAATGATAGCTCACATTCAGGGCATTTACTACATATCAAACATGAGCTAATCACTTTACCAATAATGCTTCATTCCATGTTGAATATCCTGTGAAGCAAGTATTGTTATTGCTATATTACAGATGAAAAAACAGACTCTCAGAAATTCAGAAATATGAAGGCATAGAGTGGATGATCAAGCTCAGGTCATTGGCACCAGGACTCAGGCTCTTGGTCACCACTGTGCTAACTCTCTTTGGCTCCTACCATCTGCAACTACCTCCCCACTGTGATCTCTAGCCTCTTCCTCAGCCCCCACCATAAATAATGTCTTTTCCTCCACCCTCATGGCTGCTCACGGTGGCTGGTTATAGCAGAGGAACCCAAACACCTGTGACATGGGCCATATTCCTGTCTTTAGCCTGCCATGCCCTGCTCTCCAAAGGTGGTTTCAAGGCATCTTGGAACTGGTGGGAGAGCAAAGGGCAAGAGGATGTGTATGCACAGATGTCTACTCCCAGACTGTCATCTGTCTTAGCTTGGGCTGCTTCAACAAAATACCATAGACTGGGTGGCTTAAACAAATTTCTTTTCTCACAGTTCTGTAAGCTACAAGTCCTCCAAGATTAAAGTTCCGGCTGAGTCAGTTTCTAGTGAGGGCCCTCTTCCTAGTTTGCAGATAACCATCTTTGCACTATGTCCTCACATGGCCTTTTCTCAGTGCCTGCACCTGGCCAGAGTTGAGAGCTGTATGGGGTCCCACAAGGACACTAATCTTACCAGAACAGGGATCCACCCTTATGGTTTCATATAACTTTACTTTCTTCCTCTAAATACAGCCACTCTGGAGATTAGGGCTTCAACATATGAATTTAGGGAAGACATATGCATTCAATTTTAACACCATCTAAATGTCCAATCACCACATTGTAGTCCACTTATTCTAAACATCCGTAGAGGGCAGATGTGAATTCAGCCACATCCCTGCTGCCGGGGACAGAATCTAGGGCTGGGTTCAACATGAGAAAGAACCCATTACCCCTCAGCCAGTGCAATTCTATCCTAGAAAAGGGAACCAAGTTACTCAGGTTCACAGTGCTGGCGCGTCCACAGTGCTGGTCAGTTCACTTATGACCCTGTGTGCTTTCTAGATTCCAGGTCTGTGCAGGCTCAATTTCCCAGAAATTTATTCTCGAAGTGTCTGTTCATTTGAAGTGGCCAAGCCTTTGGCTTAGGTGTCTGAGAACACTGCATCACCGTAGAGACATCAGAGAGATGCTTTCCAAGTTGTGTTTATCTTAGTACTTTTTGGCTTTAACCCCTTGATGCCTTATGCCAATATCTTTTTAAGGGATCCCAAAGCCTCCTGGAGGGCCCAGGAACTACAGGTGAATCCTAAGCCAGTCATCTTCTCATGTTCTCCCATGAAGGAACCAGTCTTTGCATTTGTTTGTGGTCACAGAAGACAGTGGGCCCTACTGGGAGCACATCCTGTGGGTGGGGTCTGCTTCTTCCAGCAGCAGTGCTGCTTCAAGCCTATAGCTCAGTTATAGAAATAGCTGTCATTTGCACATTCACTTTGTACGAGCATTATGCTAGCATGTTATTATTGGTTATAATAATTTTGGTTATACTGTTTATTATTCAACCTTATAGAGCTAGGTGACACAACACCCATTTTGCAGATGAGGAAATAGGCTCAGATAGGTTATTTGCATGAGGCCATACAGCTGGTGAGAGGTGGAGCCGGGATTTAAAGCCAGGCATTTGAACTCCAGAGCTTGTACAGTTGACCACTCTGCATACTACCTTCAGATCTGGCTATCAGGACGTGGTGGAGGAATACTCTGCCTCTACATTAGTCTCCTACCCCTTCACAAGGCCTCACAAGCACTTCAAATGAATAGACACTTTGGGAGTAAATTTCTAGGTAATTGAGCCTGCATAGACCTGGAATCTAGAAAGCACACAGGGTCAGTAAGTGAACTGACCAGCACTGTGAACCTGCCAGCAGGGTGAACCTGAGTAACTTGGTTCCATTTAGACCAAGGCTGAAGGGTCCCCCATTTCAGCAGCATGTGATTTTGTATGACAGCCAGGGGCCCTCATATTTCTCACATTTATTTCCATCTAGTCCTCTCTGCCACCAAGATTCATGCAGATTAGCTTAGGTTACCTTTATTGTAGGCTGGAGAGGTTTGGCTACCTTTCCTAAGACTAAGCTAAAATGCCATATGAGGTGATCATAGAATTGGCACCGTTAGGACCTGGTGGGTATTAGTTCTGAAAGACATGGAGAATCAAGCCCAGGGAGACTTTCCTGGTTTCTATGCCTCCTCTCCAGTGCTTCCTGGGCTGTGTTGGGCTGGGCCTTAGGAACCCTGGCCAATCTCTTCCCCAGCCTCAGTCTGGCCTCAGGAGCCAGTTTCAGTGTCACAACCCTTAGAATTGCTGCAGAATTTCATGCCCATCTGCATTTGGCCAGGGACAAGAGTCCTTGATTTTCTAGAGATTGCCAAAGCCTGAGTGACCCTAGCATGGGTTAGAATGACTGGATTAGACAGTCTGTCAGATTCTTTTTCAGTCAAACCTGCTGTAAGCTCTAGTGCCCCATTGAGTTAGGTAACTCCTGAAATTATTTTAAAGCCCTGTAAAAAGACTCCTTAGAATTGGATTAACTTTGGTTAAGGTTTTCACAAGCCTTTTTAGTTCCTCTCAAGTTTTTTGAAGTTGTTTTTCCTCTGCTGGGTTTATGCATCCATTTCCCTCCTGTCAGGTTCTCCAGGGCAGGTCCCCATTCCTTTGGGAGGAAGTGCTGGGCAGCTGCTCTACCACTGACCTTCAAGGTATTCCTTCACCAGATAGTTCTGGTCCAGACATGGCTCTTCAGGGGTTTCAGGCGGAGGGAAGCTCAGAGCAAAAGGGAAGATGCCAGGTGGAAGAAAATGCCCTGCAGAAAGGGTCCTCAGGCGCCCTGTGAATGGGAATTTATTCAGCAGCTCTGGCGGCAATTTTCCCTGAGGACCACCCTTAAAAAACTTCCCCGAGGAAGTAACTGACCTGGGGAAAAGCTGAAGAGGAGGAATTATTATCAAAATGTCCCGGGCAGGACATTCGCCCTCCTCGCTTGGGTCTCCTGCTAGGGATTGATCTCCCCTTATCCCTTTTTCCAAAGCGGCGCAAACAATTACCAGCACGTTCTCAGCACTTGGTCTAATTGGGTAAGTTTTTATTAAAGAAATGCGGCCCATAAAGATGTAAGACCTGTATCCCCGACAGCGGTGGGACCCTGCGCCTCTCCTCCGACCTCCCACTGCCCGTGTGCAAATAAGGAACTGGGTCCTTAGACCTGGGCAGGATCCACTGAAACCCCTTGTCCTGTCATTTCCCCTGGGGGACGCGGCCCCCGACCGCCAACCTCCCAAAGTTCAGGTGAGTTCCCACTTGGATCCTAGTGGGGTCCTTCTCGGTGTCAAGGAGCAAGAGAGGCGTGCAACTCCAGGCTAGTTGCACGCTCATGGGTCCTGTCTCTTCCGTGTGCCAAGTAAAGAGGTCAGGATAAGGTGAGCAAGCCTCCTGCGCTGGGGCTGGCGCGCAGTCTTTCAGGAAGGTTTTCCGACTGGTCGCTCTGTCAGGAAGGGGATTAGGCCAGGGGATCAGAACGACGGTACCTACAAGGTACTGGAATTGAGACCCTACACAGCCTCCCGACCCCTCGGTCTCCCTTTCCCCCGGGTTGCCACTCTAGTTCAGGAATGGTCTTTGGGTCAGGGCGCGGTGTTCCCATGGGCCAGCGACCCCCGGAGTCATGCCCTCCCAACCCGGCTCAAGCTGGCTGTCTTGGCGTGGTCAGGACAGACCTCCAGGCGGCGGCGATAGCTCAGTCCCACACTACACCGGCCGCGTCTTCCAGGGCGCGCGAGCGTCGCGCAGCGAGCGGTCGTGGGGCAGAGCTGCGAAGGCCGAATGGCGCAGCTGGCAACCGATGAATAGGACGACGAGCGCCACCGAGAGCAGCAGCAGGAAGAAAAGCAGCAGGTAGGTGGGCAGGTCGGGCTTTGTGGCGGCACCGTCCCGCATACCGCGCGCAGTGGCCAGCTCCAGTGGCAAAGCACCTTCTGCCTTGACCGTGGCTCCTGGCGCCAGCGCGCTGCCTACTGCCGCCTCGGGACCACCCGTGGCGTTGAATAGGTCGCCGTACATGGCCTGCGGGTCCCACCGACCCCAGCCGGATCGCCTCACTTCTCCTCCAGCAGAGTGGCGCGACCCGGCGCATCCATGGCGCGCCCCTCCCGCCCCGCCGCGCAGAACTGACCGGGAGTCGGTGCCTTGGGACCAGCAGGGGCTGCAGAGACCCCGCGACGTGTCGGCTCACTCGCCTCCGCGCTCAGCTGCCTTCCCCGCGGGCCGGCGGACCCCAGCACTCGGAGCTGGACAGTTCTGTGCCGGCGCCTCTTCTCGCCGTCTCCAGTAGGACAGAGGTCCCAGTCCCAATCACTGAGTCGTCTTGCGGCTTTACAGCAAGCAGCCCTCTCAGCTCGGACCCCCAGCTCCAGTGAGCTCCAGGTACCGGGCGCCTTGGGGCTGTGGCGGGGGTGAGATGTACCCGGCGAGTGCAGCCGCAGCCCGGGGTCTCTGCTCAGTGCCTGGTGACGGAGCGCACGGAGGGCGGGTGGCCCGCGAGTCCTCCGCGTCCTCCGGCGGCGGCGCGGCCACAGCAGCGTCTCGGAGCAGTCCTGCAGCCTCGGGTCCCTGTCGAGATACCCGGTGTGCAGCGAGCTTGTCCCCACTCGCTCTGGCTGCTGCGCTCCTGTCTCAAGCAGGAGACTGAGCTTTCCGGCGGCTCTGAGCGCGCTCGGGTCCCGGGCGGGGGTTGGGGGGAGGGCGGGACTGGCGGCGGCTGCCTGGGGGAATGGCTGGGAACCAATGAGTGCAAGAGAGGACGCGGCTGCGACTGCCCCCTGCCCAGCTTCGCATCACTCACGGACAGAGAGAGAGAAAATCACAGGGTCACAGGAAGACTGACGGGCAAAGACACAGTTACAGACCTATGAACAGAGCCACACGCCAAACAGGGACAAACCGTTGAGGTAAGGAAACCAACTCGGAGACAAGGCTCAGCCGAGCGTGCACACCTGGCCTGCGTTCGTTCTCCTCCTTGACAGGCTCCCTCCAGGCATGGCCTGGTTTGCTTCAAGTGCCCACTGGCTGCTGGGTAGCTCAGGCCAGGCACACGACCTCCAAGGGTGTGCAGATGCGCCCCCAGACAAGAGTATTCAAGCCGGGACTGGTTCCATGGGCCTCGTGCCCTCTCTGGCTGCGTCCTGCTGGTCTGTGTGCTTCCTGCACCGTGTGCACAAATGTTCAGCTCCCCTCTTTGCCTGTTCTGCCTGGATGCAGAGGAGGGCATGGCACTGGCAGTGGCCTCCCAGCCCTGCCCTTGGCAGCCCTGGAAAGGTGAGGTGGCCAGGACAGAGGCGGGCAGTCAGTTGGATTGAGTCGGGAGGTTGTCTCCTTTCTCAGGAGTCCAAACTGCTCACTTCTTCTGAGAAGTTTTCCAGGCCCTCCACACTAGAGTGGGAACCACTGCCCTGGACCACCACAGCCCCTGCACTTCTCAACAAGCACCTACCTCTTACCCCTGGTCTGTCATTTTCTTTCAGGGCCAGAATGAGGGGGAGGTGGGTGAAAAGTCTAGGGCACAATACTGAATGAGACACTTGCTCTCAGAGTCCACAAGTGCAGGGTTGAGACTGCCCCAGATGCCTCCCTGCTCACCCTAGACCCAGCCCTGTTGTCTGGTCACTTGTCAGAGACCGTCAAAGGGTCGGCGAAGTTCACATCTGTGTCTTTCTCCTCTTTCCCTCTTCCCCCACCAAGGGCTGCAGTACGTGGGGAGAGCTTGGTGACACTGGCTGAGAGAGCCGGTAGAAAGATGAGTAGATGAGCTCGTGATTCCCTCTTCCCACTGCATCTTATGCCTGGCTACCAGCATAACAAGAACAACCAGGGTGTGCAAGGCAGACCTGGGCCAGAGCTCATCCTCACGAATCCCTGCTCAGCTGGGCAGAATCACCTCCAGTGAGCTCTTGGTCTAAGCTGAAACTGTGGTTCCAAGTCCTGACTCTAAAGTGTTTGTCAAAGGAGGTATACAAATGCCCTCTTTGGCGTTTTTCACTTAGTCCCACAGATGGGCCTGTGGGGGTTTCAGCAGGGCCTGGCAGGATTCAACACTGCCCATCTACCCTATCACCATCCCGGATGGGATCCCCCTTAGTCCTGGGGGGCTGCCTAGTCTGCTTCCAGGGCACAGGATTTTCGGCCCCTCCACTTGGCCGCTGCCAATGCCTCATTTTCCAGATAGCAAAGTTGGCTCTGAGAGGAGCCAGGGCTTATCTGTGTTAGCACAGGACAGCTACCATGTATCAGTGATGTAGCAGCAGCAGTGGCAGTGGGCCGCTCAGGAGATGAGGGAGTCCCTTTCTCTGAAGACTTAACCTATTTCAGACAGCATTTTTCTCAGCCAGCAGGATACAGAACATTATGTAAAACCAGAACAGGCCTTCTCACCAGCACTTTCAGGCATGGGGAGACTCAGGTCGTGTGTTGGATGGAGGGGGTTTGGATGGAGGTGATGTTCCTGCTGTCAGTAACTTCCTGGGTCCTGGGAAGGCAAGAATGCAGGACTTGGGTAGCTCAGTTTGGGGTTTGGCCTGGAATTTCCTCCTGGGGTCTATATGGGAAGTGGCATGGCCTGCCTTCCCCACTTTCAGCTTCATGATGACCCCAGGTATGAACCCAGGAGGGGGGCTTCCTAATGCCAGGCAGCTCAGTTGGGAGGCTCTAAGTGGAATCTGGGGCGAGCCTCAGCCCTTTGAGCTGTAAAATGTGGGGTGATGGTAAATAAGTGTTTTTCTGGTCCTCCTCTGGAAGCATGCTGTGATTATCCAGGAAATGGGGTGCAGAAGGGTATCTGCAAAGGGTTTGGTGTGAATGGAAGGTCCCTGCATCTCCACTGCTCGTGGTGGCAAGACAGGGATGGTGGTGGGACAGGGATGGTGGTGGTGGTGGAGGTCAGTCCCCAGCACTGTTCATTCCTTCCCCACAGCTGCTGCTGTTCCCATGCTGCATTTTATAGAAATGACACATGCAAGGTCTCCTGCCTGTGAATGAAGAAGCTGGGTCTCAGATGTGGGGAGAGGGGCTCCAGAGTCCATGCCCTTAGCCACTGTAATGAACCACCCACCATGGCAGAATGATTCTAGTAGCTACCATTCCTGACTCCCTTACCACAAGCTGAGCTCTTGGGGGTGGGAGCTTAGCATCCATCTTTCTCCCCACAGCAGCCTGTGATAGGCACTGCTATCACCCTCATTTTCTCTAGGAGAAAACCAGAACCCGGTGTCACTTGGCAAGATCACACAGCTGGTCATGGTGCAGGGGACCCTCCAACTGTGGTCTGTGCTTGTCCACTCAGTCTGAAGCCTTTTCTCAAGAGAAACTCAACAAAAAGCATGTGGTCAAACTGACTTCCCTTTTAGTACAGTTGGAGGAGGTATTTTGTCTTTTTGGGGGGCCCTGAACTGGGGGGGTACTGTTTCTTTTCTGAAAGATGTTCCGGGCCCTGAGAGGGCAGTCACGTTCCCTGCACATCCCCGGCAGGAAATTAAACAAGGCTGGTACTGAGTAAATGCAGAGATGAAGTTTACACAGCTCTTTATACAAGCCAGAGCGACCTTCCATTAAGGGAGCTTTGTGTACCCATACATTTAAGTCTTTGAAAAAGATTATGAAAAGGCGCTTAGAGGTTGGCTTTGACAGGCAGAGGTCACAGGGCTGGGACCTCAGGGCAACTTCTTTCCCATTATGTAGTTGTTGAGTGACACACGTTTCTTCCCTGCCGACCTGTCTGCGGAGAAACCGAGGGAGGCAAGGCAAGGGTGCCTTTCCTGCCAGCGAGAGCCATTTGGCAGCTGTTTAATGGAAACTTGGGAGCCTGGAAGCATTAGAGCCCCAGGATATCATAAACTGTGCCGTGCAGGCCTGCGGTGCCTGGTGGAGCTATTTCTGTTTCTTCCGCACGCCAAGGGAATCATTATTAAACTCCTCAGCGTCACGCAGAAGCTGGGGGTGAAGATCAAAGGTGAAAAGTTGCTGTCTGAAGGTTGGAGTTTGTTGCTGCTGGCATGGGTTTTCCCTGTGTGGGTGCTGGTCTGCTGGAAAACAGAATGGCCACTTCCTCTGAGAATGCTGATGACACCCTTGCTTGCAGAACTGTTTTGTTTATTTTTCAAATCATCATCCCTGGAAATGGCTTTCTGTTTGTTTGTTTTAGATGGCTTTGGCAACCATAGTTTTTGGTGACTTTAAGGTTACATTTCAGAATGACTTTTTTTTTTTTTTTTTGAGATAGAGTCCTGCTCTGTCGTCCAGGGCTAGAGTGCAGTGGCATGGTCTTGGCTCACTGCAACCTCTGCCGCCCGGGTTCAAGTGATTCTCCTGCCTCAGTCTCCCGAGTAGCTGGGATTACAGGCACCTACCACCACACCTGGATTTTCTTTTCTTTTTTTTTTTTGTATTTTTAATGAAGATGGAGTTTTACCATGTTGGTCAGGCTGGGCTCTAACTCTTGACTTTAGGTAATCTGCCTGCCTCGGCCTCTGTAAGTGTTAGGATTACAGGTATGAGCCACTGCGCCAAGCCTAGAATGACCATTTTAAGAACTAAGTGGAGCCAGGCTCAGTGGTTCATTCCTGTAATCCTAGCACTTTCGGAGGCCAAGGCAGGCAGATCATAAAGTCAGGAGAGGTCGAGACCAGCCCGACCAAGATGGTGAAACCCTGTCTCTACTAAAAATACAAAAATTTTCCAGGCATGGTGGTGCGTGCCTGTAATCCCAGCTACTAAGGAGGCTGAGGCAGGAGAATCGCCTGAACCTGGAGGTTGCAGTGAGCTGAGATTGTGCCTCTGCACTCCAGCCTGGGCAACAGAGCGAGGTTCTGTCTCAAAAAGCAAAGAACTAAATGGCAAGTAGCATAAGCCCAGACTCTGGAAGGAAGCAGCTTTCCTAATGAGAATAGTCCATAGGAGGCTTGGAGAATGGTCTTGCCAGGGCTTTCAAAGTGGCTGCAGTTTGGTTAGTGGAGTCGGGTAACTGGAGAGCGTATGGGGTGTAAGGGAGAAAGGATTCTGCAATGGGAGAGCTCCTGAACTGGCTTTGTCTCCTATCCCAGAAAGAGTGTCTCTGGTTCTGTCCTCTGGTCCTGCCGGCCTGCAAGTTTTTGGCCAGATCAGATGATGGATGGAGAGAGTCAGTTTTGAGATTCACCAGGCTGGTGAATGGTGTGCCATTTATTTTTTGAATCAGGTCTCACCACTCATTAGTTAATACCTCAACATCTTTCTCCAGGATCCCAATGGCATGTGACCTCATCTGCCTCTCTGCGTCCCCTTAGCAGTATAACCTCAAGCCAGGTAGGTTGCAGTGACCCAAGGCTTGCAGAATCCTGGGACTGATAGACTGTCACCCCCTGGGTCCAATCACCTCACCTTCTCTGGCAAGGGCAGAGGTTTGCATGGTGGTGAAACTGCATTCCTCCTGCTGCCTGAGCTCAACTAGGGGTGTTGGGTGGGGTCATGGGTGGGGTCACTGCATATTAAGGGATGTGCCAACACTCTGGCCAAGAACTGAAAAGGAGCCTAAAGCTGGGATAGAGCCAGTATATGGCCAAAAACTGGGAACAGGACTGTTGTTTGGGACCCGTTGCCAGGCTCAGGGCACCTGGTAGTCTGGCTGGAAGTCCCTGGA